CTGTGTTGTCACAAACCAGAGAGACTTACCAGGAACCAGTGCCATGCTTTTCAGCTTTCAAAATTGTGAACCAAGCAAACCTCTTTTCTTCATAAAGCACCCAACTTCATGTTTTGTCATAGCAGCAGAAACAAGGCCTCTAAGGAAAGATGTCGTTAAGGAACTGAAGATACTGAGGATATGACCTGGTAGGATTAGTCTTAATGAGGCCATTAAGTGGTAGTGTGGGGATGGGCAGAGGGTACGGGAGATGTCAGGTAGATGGTGACCTTAGCTGGTACAATGGGCAGGGAAAGGTGTGAGAAAAGATGTTGACGAAGGGGTGACCTTGAAGTTTGAAGCTATGTCAGAGACTGTTGTTTCTAGAAATAGGATGGGAACTGCAGACATGTTGGGGGTACAGCACAAAGGTCCTGTGCCCACAGATTTCCAGAGAAACCAGGAAGATCAAGCACACAGGGAAAGATGTAAAAATATGTTCTTCCATCCAGAAAGCGAGGAGTTGGTGATGACTAACAGTCTGGCAGTGACCTGTGTTATCTGTTGGTCCAGAGCATATTAAGCTCCTACAACCAGGACCAAAGGTAGCTAGTCATCTCAGTGACCTGTATAGCCAGGGGTTCTCCCAAGCTCCCACAACCAGGACCAGACATGGCTAATAGCCCAAATGACCTCTATACACTATCTGTATGACCAAGACACGGCCAGATCTTTCCTTAGATCCTTACGCTAGTACAGGTAGCCTATCTCTAGAACCCATCTTCTTGGAAGAAATGACATAGACCCCGAGTTGATTTTCAATATAATTATGGTTCCTTGTGCACTGAGGGTTGTATTACAACAGGAATCTTTCTTGCAAATTATAATTATATATAAAATTAAGAAATTATTTCTTAAATATACTGGCAATAAACCTCCTAGCATGGGGTTGCCTTGGCTGTATCTCTTCACAGCAAGAGAACTGTACCTAAGACCCTCTAGAAGGTTTCATCCAGGTTGATAAAGTCAGCCTGAACTGAGTTCTCATTCTCACCTCTTCGTGGTTCATTTCGCTGCCTGACACCTACAGAGCCACACTTCTCCCCATCCCACTGCAGGAGAATGTGGACAGAGGAGGAGGAGCCAACAATGATCTGAAAAGTTCTTCCCTCTTAGTAGCAGTTCACAACAGCAAAGAGGTGGAAGCAACCCAGGGGTCAAATAATGAATGGGTAGGCAAGGTCTGAATGAAAATGGCTCCCATAGGCTCATATATCTGCATGCTTAGTCTACAACTGATGAGCTGTACAGAAGGATTGGGAGGGGAGTCCTTGACAGAGTAAATGTGTCCTTGTTGGAAGAAGTATATCCCTAGGGATGAGCCTTGAGGTTTCAAAGGTCCACACAAGGCCCAGTCAGTCTCAGTCTCTCTCTCTCTCTCTCTCTCTCTCTCTCTCTCTCTCTCTCTCTCTCTCTCTCTCTCTCTCTCTCCCCCCCCCTCCCCCCCCCCCCCCCCCCCTCCCCCCCCCCTCCCCCTTCTTCCCTCCCCCACCCTCTCTCTCTCTGCCTGCTGTCTGTGGATCAGGATGTAAAGCTCCCAGCTGCTCCTCCAGCACCATACCTGCCTGCCTGCCACCATGCTCCTGCCATGATGATAATGAACTAACCCCCAAGCGAGCCCCAATTAAATGCTTTCTTTTTAAGTGTTGCCTTGGTTATGTATCTTCATAGCAACAGAACAGTAACTAAGGCACAAGGTGTGACCCGTTCACTGTGGAATATACTCAGCTTTTCCCAGGAATGAAATTCTGTCACAAACTACAGCATAGATGTGAAATAGTCTGAGGGGCTCTGGACTGTCTCCTCTCCAGGGCCCTTGGCCATCCTGCTTTGCTTTGCTCGGCTGAAACAGAATCATGCTGCCATTGTCCATCTGCCAGCAGGCATGGTGGTCCAGTCTCCACAGCACAGAAGTTTTAAATATGTGATAAAATGAGCCAGGCAGTGATGGTGCACGTCTTTAATCTCAACAGTTAGGAGGCAGAGTATTTGCCTTTTCAAGTATCTGATTCTGTGGCCTTAAGTACAAACACATGACTGTGCAAATATCACCATCTCTGTCTCCAGAACTGTCATCTTCCCAGGCACAAGTACTTCCCTCTACATGACCCTGGTGCCCACCAAGGGTCCACTCTTGTGTCTGTGGGATTGAAGGCTCTGGGACCTCTAGTGAGAGAGTGATGGTGTATATTCCCTTCATTTTTTAAAAAAGGAAGGAAGGAAGAGAGCCTCACCACAACATGGTTTGTCTCCTGCTGGCTGACAGCCAAGAATATTGACCTAGCTAACAGGATCACTTGACATTTGAGTTTACTCTCGTTTCTGAGAAACATTCCACACACTAGAATAACACAGTTTGAATCAGAGTATATCTCAACCTCCATGTGTGTACCTGGCACAGTAAGACTTCCTTTGATCTGCTAACATTTACATATACTTACGTATTGTGCAGGGGAAGGTTGTGGAAGTCACAGGACAACTTGTAGGGCTCAGGTCCTTCCTTCCACTGTGTGGCTCCCAGGATGGAACCCAGGCTGTCCGCAAGTACTTTTACCCACTGAATCATCATGTTGGCCTCTCCCTCTCCCTCTCTCTGTCTCTCTCTCTGTCTCTCTCTCTGTCTCTCTCTCTGTCTCTCTCTCTCTCTCTCTCTCTCTCTCTTTCTCTCGTGTGTGTGTGTGTGTGTGTGTGTGTGTGTTGGTTTTTTGAGATAGGGTTTCTTTGTGTAGCCTTGTCTTTTCTGGAACTCACTTTGTAGACCAGGTTATCCTGGAATCAGAGAACTGCCTACCTCTGCCTCCCGAGTGTCTGTGTGACAGTGAGTGTCAAGTCCCTGGAACTATATAACAGTTCTCATGCTGGCCTCTTTTTAACCAATAATATATATATATCTTATCAGCACTCCTTACATGTACCTCACAAACCATTAGTAACCCTGCAAAAGAAAATTTCTTTAGATAAAAAGGGAAGTATACCAAAACTTTTGGAGGGGAGACATGGGTAGGGTCTCATTATAGGTCAGGCTGTTCTAGAACTTACTTTATATATGGGGCTGACCTTCCTGCCTTTGTCTCCCAAGTCTGGAGCACATGTTATTAGGTCAAGTAAACAGAGATGTATGTCCCTTTTTCCAGTTTGTTTGTTTGTTCCTTCATTCCTTCCTTCTCTCCTGTCCTTCCTCCCTCCCTCCCTCCCTCCCTCCCTCCCTCCCTCCCTCCCTCCCTTCTGGTATAGGCGTATTGAACCCAGGGCTCACACACAGTAGGCAAGTGTTCTACCACTGAGAGATATCAACAGCGGAGAAATGCTTTTTAAAAACTTAATCCTTTAACCTAAGATACAGATTATGACTGTAATCTCCAAAGCTCCCAACTTCCACATAAATATCAGCAGCGCTTATGTCTCAGTTAAATCTAAGTGTGTCCCAGCTCACTTAATAATGACCAGTCCTGAGTGTCCGGCTGTCCTTACAGGAACTCAGCCCCACCACCAGCCCCAGGAGCTGCCGCCCAGAGAACAAGCACCAGTGATTTGAGGGAAGTCACTGTTCTTCAAGTCCTGATGTGCTAGCAATGGGGGAGGGGAAGGGGAGGGAGGGCTCTGTTCTGCTCTGACTGATCACCATGGCCTCTGAAGAACGTTGGGCCAGATGGGGAGAGAGAGAGAGAGAGAGAGAGAGAGAGAGAGAGAGAGAGAGAGAGAGAGAAAGAGAGAGAGAGACCCAGCCAAGGTCAAAATCCTGGGGGTAAAGGATTGTCAGTTGCTGGCCCCGAGAAGACAGATGAAGGAGGGTAGGGCAGCAGGCTGAGTGAGGACCGAGGAGAGTGGGAGCCACAAAGGAGCAGACAGGTTTGTGTGAACTGAAGTTCCCTGAAGACATAGACTCCCATAACTGCCCTAGGTGACATGACCCAGGTGCAACTTTCACAGAGCCCAGTGGTGACTGTGGAGACAGAGTCAAAATGATCTCAGGCTTGCTTAAGTCCTTTAATATTTACCCTAACTTTTCTGTCTGACTTGGCATCCCGGTGACCAATGTATTTCCCAGGATATATCACCAAGTGCCCCCCAACCATAAAACTAGAGCATCACATTTTGAAACTCATGGAAGAGATCCCACCTGGGAGATACACCAATTTATCTTGCATCTGCAGTCTCAGCCCTGGGCAGTCACGTGGTTTAGAATAAATCAATCTTTCCTTTATGAACAGAGTTCCTTCCATTCACAGGTGACTTTTGGGGTCACTTTTGCGTGATTTGAATAGAAATCTCAGCGGTTTTTCTGAAGACTGTGTGTGGTGTGCCTGGGAAGAATCAACTGCGCGGTGACTCACCTGGATCTTCCAGCGTGGCTCATGGTCATGGTCCTAGTTTAGATCCTAGAATGAAACAGATCGGAAGGGAGAAGAATATACGTGTAAGCTGCGGAAGAGTTGGGAGGGGACCCCCCTCCAGAGCCTTGCTTTCCGAGGAAAGGCGAGTTCCTCTGGCGGCGGGGATGCGGCTGTGCACTGTAGTGGAGACACCTTGGCAGGGCAGGGCACTACAGTGACAAATCAGTGTGGCGCAGAGCCCCAGGCCTTCTCCTGACCCCCACCCCCACACCCCACACCCAGGCTCCCAGGCTCTAGTCAGGACACCCAGGACCGCACACTCCCTCAACTTGGGCGCGCGCCGGCTCCGGTCTGGCTACCAGGGCTGGTCTCCCATACGAATGGAGGGACGCAAGGTCGAAATCGACGGCGGGCAGCAACTGTATGGTCACTGTGGAGAGGCAGCGCCCAGGCCGCAGGGAAGATCAGGCAGAGCAGGCGGGGCCTGGGCAGGTGCTGGCCTAGGACTGAGCCCGCGGCCAGAGTGACGAGGTCGCGGCAGGCACCCCCAGCTGGTCTCTGGTGTCCTCCGCTGCACCCTACGGGGACTCGGGCAGAGGGGAAGCTGCTAGAGCCAGGCGCGCGCGGCCGCGGTGTTTCTATGACGACGACGTCAGGGGGGGCCCCGGGTGGGGTCGGCTTGGGCGCATGCGCGCGCGTGCGGGTCGCGGTCCGTCTTCCCGAGTCGCCCGCGCTGCTTGTTCGCGGTTCCGTGAACCGCGGTAAGGGTGGGGTGGTGTCCGCGGGGCCCGGGGCAGGGTGGTACTGGGCTAAGCGCACCTGAGCTCGCGGGACACGTGAGTAGGGCTGGGCTGTGGCTGCGGGTTGTGGGTGGGCGTGGCCGGGGCATCACCAGTGGGCCGGTTCGGGGTGCAGCCAGGTGCGCGGCGCGGCTGACCGCTACTCGCTGCAGGGTGGCCCGGGCTCCCTCTGCCATGGCCCCCGCGCCCAGGTCCTTGCTGTCGCCACCGACTTTGCTGCTGCTGCTGCTACTGCTGAGCCTGGCGCTGCTGGGCGCCCGCGCCGAACCCGCCGCCGGGAGCGCTGTCCCCGCGCAGAGTAGGTGCCTGCGGAGGGGGCGTGCGGGGGGCGTCTTTGTTTCCTGCGCGGTCACTCTCTGGGTGGGAACTGGAGGGCGGGCGACAGGGACCGGGACGCCCTGGCAGGGGCTCCGGCTGCCCACCCTCACGTGACGCTGATTCGCGTCCCCGCAGGCCGCCCGTGCGTGGACTGCCACGCATTTGAATTCATGCAGCGCGCCCTTCAGGACCTACGAAAAACCGCTTACAGCCTGGACGCACGGGTGAGTACACAAGGTCAGGAAGGTCTGAGTTTGGCCGGTAGGCACCCCAAAATGTAGCCACTTTAGGGATCTGGGCCTAGGTCTCACCTGAAAATGCCCCCATGCCCAGTGCCAGGATCTCAGGGCACTGTGCCCTGTGACTTGTGTACTCCAGGGATGTACACAACCCTAAACCAGGATCTCAGTAAGAGGTGAGCCCAGAGTAAGAAGAAACTGAGGCTGGGACACAGAGGCTATGGTGTGTGAAAAAATGGAAAGCTAAGTTGGACCAGAGATCTGGATGTTTGTCCTGGAGTTTTAGGTCCTCACTGGTTGGGTGAATTTGTATCTCTCAATCCCTGGGGCGTAGCCAAAGGAGTCGACCTTCTTGTAAAGGGAATTGTTGGACACAGGAGGAATGGGATCTTTCCTCAGCCCTTTTGGGACAGTCAGAAGGACACTCCCCACCATGGTGTCTCTCCCCACTTCTCAGTGAGCAGGCATCCACTCCTTTTATGGATTGTGGGGTGAGAGTCCTTGATGGAGGTGCTTTGGAAGTGAATTGAAAGATGGCTGGAGTGGTTATTCTGGCATAGGATGGAGGGAATGGAGGTGTTAAGGCACCTAAAGGTACAGAGGGGCACCGGTGAGGAGGACCGGAAGTCCCAGCAGGGTACCCAGGTGAAAATGAAGGAGCCAGGAAGGCAGGAAGGCCTGGGAAGGTGTTGGTTAAGAGCTCCGTCCCATCCTTATGCTGCTTCTGGTTCCTTTGCAGACGGAGACCCTCCTGCTCCAGGCTGAGCGCCGGGCTCTGTGTGCCTGCTGGCCAGCTGGACGCTGAAGATCTTTGGCCAGTGATGTTCCCTGTCAATAAATGCCTGCTAGCATGTCTGTGCCCTGTGCTTTGCTCTGGCCACCAGAGCCCTGTATGTTGCCCTGTTAGGGCCCTCTCTAGGTCTTGGTTTCTGTAACAGGTGATAGGAAGGTGTTTGGTACTGTCCTATAGCAGCACCCTGCTGAGGTGCGCTTGCCTGTCCCTGCAAACACTTGGCACTGACAGTGAAGTGAATTGGCCTTCTCAGACCTGCCTCAGCCAGCATGCCCTTGTTTGGAGGCCAGGGGGTCTTGATACTGGCCTGTCCCCTCTGAGTTCCCTATGGCCTCTCTGTACTGGAGTGGGCACGGCTTTACAGAAACTCTGGAACCCTGACCTAGGTCTTCTTTAGGAGGGAGCAGCAGTGAGCGGCAGGCAGTGGGTAAACATATCTTCCAGGAGGGAGAACAGCTGAAATCCTTCTATCTGCAGCCCTAAGCTTGGCTTCTGGGTATCAGGAACTTCTGGGTGGGAGTTAGTGGTCCCTCTTATATTTGCACACATGTGTTAGTTAGATGCCTAGCAGGCAAACCTCAGACAAAGTGAGGAAAGCTCTCTCCTTTTACTGGAAAGTTTGTACAAGGAAAATCAAGTTAGGGTGTGTGCACACACTATTGAAAACACTTCCAGGAGACACTAGGGGCTGAGGTTTTAGTAACTGCCTTGCCCTAGACACAACACTGGCCTATCTGGGTCATGGTTCCTTGATTACCCCCACAAAGAACTAAATCACCCGAGAGGGGGGCACTGTTAGAGGAGTGCTGAGACCTTTGGTGGCTCTTCAGCCTGAGCACTGTCCAGGTGTGTTGTGCCAACCAGGATTCTGTTCTGGGTTCTCCCTGAGCAATGGAGGTGGATGTATACTCATGTCCCATTGGTTGATTTCAGTCCTGACCATTCCTTGTTGCAGGAGAGACTAGGAATGTATCCTTGTTCTGTGTGTAGATTGCCAGATCTAGCAAGTCAAATACAGAAACACTTTTTAGTACCCTTTATACAACGTTTATGGGATGTACTCACACTAAAGGTATTGTTTACCCTAAATTCAAGATTAACTGTCCTGTATTTTATTGATGCTGTTAGGTTATCCCTTGGTACAGATAACCAAGAAAGTGTAGTTTTCTTTTGGGCCATGCCTATGGAATGAAGTAGAATCAGTCAGAAAGGCTAGGATGAAGGTGTCTGGAGGTTGGTAGCCTATCTTACTGGAGTTCGGGCTACAGGGAGCTGAGGGAGGAAAGAGAAGAAGAAACTTGGTAGGTGATCCTCCTTGAAGCTTTGTCATGTCTTTGAAATGTGTGTGTGTGTGTGTGTGTATGTGTATGCATGCACATGTGTGTATGCACAGAGGACAATTGGGGAGATAATTGTCTCCTGTGTGTTCCAGGGATTAAGCTCAGTTTGTCAGGCTTGCTTGGGGGACACTTTTTAGCCCCCTGAGCCATCCCTCTGGGCTTATAAGGTTTTGAGCCAGTAGATTCTAGGTTTGTGGGAACAGGGTGCTTGTTGCTAGAGATACTAGATAGCCCTGGAGGATAATATGGGCCCTTGAGATAGTTGCACCCATCATGGATGGAGGCTAGCTGGGCAGTGCCACCTGTGGCCGCGTGAGAAGTGGTTGGATTCCAGATGTACTTGAAAATAGAAGTGAGGTGTCGTGGTACCTACCTTTTATCCTGGCACTCTGAGAATTCAAGGCCAGCTTGGTCTACATAGTGAGTTATAGAACAGCAGAGAGAGACTCCAACTTTAAAAAAGAAAGAAAATGAAAATAGAGCCAGGAGGATTTGGGGATGGGAAGGTCACGGTAGCTGCAAGGACAAGCTCCTGGCCCAGCACCAGAGAAAGAAGAGTGGAACCGTTACACTGTTGAGTTCTCTGTGCCTGAGTAAGGACAGGAGAGAGGAGCTGAGAAGACAGGAGGGACCTCAGAGTAGAAGGAACAGACAGGAGGCAGGAGAAAGCTGAAGCATGTTCTGGGTGTTGTGTTTAGGGTTCTAGGGAGATGAAAGCAGCATGTGTTTCATGCTGCTGTGGTTAAGTGAACACCAGGTCTGTACCCACAGACTTGGTATTTTGGGCCACTGGTGAATAAGCTTGACTTAGGTTTCTTGGAAGGAGCAGAGATGGAGAGGTCTAGCACAGTTGGGTGGCAAGCGCTTTAGGTTTTCCTAAGGGCTCTGCATTGTCCTGGAGCCACAGTGCAGCTTTGCCGTTTGTCATTGGCTTACTATGGCATTCGGATGACTAAACATAGCTCAGGTTATTGTCAAGCACAAGGCAGGATTTTCTTTCTGAGATGCCTTTTGTTTTCTTAGATTTAGCCCTGGACTAACTGACTTTGGTGTCTGATTATTGTTGAGCACTGATCCCAAACCTTGGGCATAGGATACCTCCATATTTACCTGGATCTCTGTTGTTGTTCCCAGACAGTTGTACATTCCCATACTGGATGCCCTCTAGGGAACAGAGGGCGCCCTGAGTGCATGAAGTGCTGAGAGAACATATGGAGCGCGTGCATGAGTGTTTATAACGATTGGTAGATGACAAGTGTAAAGACCAGCGGATGCGGCTTCTTCCTCCCGGATACTCGTAGCTGGGACTGATGGCCTGCACATGACCTTTTTCAGAGACTTCCTCCCTCTCTGTGCTGCACCTACAACACACTGAGGTTCCAGGTTCCAGTGAAAACCTCACATGACTCTGGCTTCATTGTATGTGTGTCGGTGTATCTGTCCTTCCTTCATTCTTTTACCACCCTTAGCCAGGATTCTGGGACCCAAGCCACCAGCTGCAGCACTGCCCACCTGCACTCTTCTGTCCAAGTTACCTTTTCCTAGGTTTCATGTCTTCTATGCCTGTGGCCTGTGTAGGAAGTACTGAGGAAGAAAACTGAGTTGGTCTGTCTGAAAAGACCTTTTTGGTTTGTTTGGTTTGGTTTGGTTTTTGTTTTTGGAGGCAGAGTTTCTCTGTGTAGCTTTGGTAGTCCTGGAACTCACTCTGTAGATTAGGTTGGCCTTGAACTCAGAAATTTTCCTGCCTCTGCTCCTTGAGTGCTGGGATTAAAGGCGTGCTCTGCCATCACTGGCTGAAAATATCTTGTTGACACATTCCATTTACAATGTAACCCTCCCACCTCAAAGGCTCTGCACGAGCTGCCTGCTCTCCTCTTCCCCCAGTCATCTCCTCAGTCTTGATGACCTGCTTCACAAGTCTGCCCCCCCCCGAATGCCCCTCCTTTTTTTGAGGCAGGATCTCATGTAGCTCTGGCTGGCCAGCCACCCACCTTTTGGGAGGCGGCGATAGGGTTGATTCCTGAGGAGTAGTAGACTTTCTTTTTATCAGCTTATTTCCTCACTTTAGCCCCTAGCTGAGTGGGATTGAAGTGGTCATGCCTAACATGGGCTGGGGACTCTCACTCTGTTCAGAGGAAGGATGAGTGATGGGTGGGGGTGGGGGGAGGTTTCTGAGAGCGTCCCTGCAGCGGGTAGCTCTGAGGAGGTGAAGCTCTGGCTAAGGAGGCTTTTCTAAGGAGGCAAAGCCTGAGCTTGTCTGGAGGCATTTTTTTTTCTCAGAGTGAGTTGAGTCTGGGTCTCCAAAACTTCTGGCTTGGGACTATTGCAGAATTTCCATTTTGGTGGCATCTTTTAGTGGCATGTGGGAACTTTTCTCTGTGCTTTGGGCTCTCCTCTCTTAAAGGCTCCTGTCCAAACCCGAGGCCTCAGGGGCTTCTATCTTTCAGCATCTAGCCCAGGGCCATTTCCTAGGATTACCTTGGCTGTGGATCTTTCCAGTACCCACTCTTTTTCTCCACATTTTTCAGCATCGGGTTCTTCTCCCCCCACCCCCCAACAGACCCTGGGGCAGCCATGCCAGGCAGGGATAAGTCCTGTGTCCCCAACATCCTTAGTGAACACACCATGGGTGGAGGGCTGCCCAATTAAGGAAGCATCTCTACCCATGAATGTTCAGTTGTAGGCTTCAGTGCACCGGTCCCCACTCTGTCTCTGAAATCTGGAGAAACGTCTTCACCCCTGGAAGGAGCAGTCAGCTGCCAGGCGTGAGGAAGCAAAGCTGGATCTCCTGAGTCTTCCTAGACTCAGGCAGAGGAGTGTATTAGCCTTCGTGGGGAGCTCAGCAGAGGTAGTGACTCTAAAGAGGACCTTGATGCCACCCAGGAATGGCCTAAGGGAGAACGGCAGAGGGCGCCCCATGACAGGGAGGAGGAACAGGGCTAAGCAGGGCCATGGACTGCCCTGTTGTCTGCGCAACTCCCACGGTAGCATCGTTTGAGTCTCCAAGCCCTTCAAAGTGTCTATTCATGGGCTCCAGTCCTGGCCTCTCCACACTTTCAGAAGGTTCTGATGTATTGGCTGTAGTGCAGGCCACCATCATGACCATGGTGACAAATGACTATAGGAGGACTGGGGCAATGAAGGGAATGGGCAGGCAGACCAGGGGAAGGGACCTCTGCAGAACTGAAGGGGAACATCCAGCTCGCACTGATGTGAGTATTGCAAGGCCCCTAGGTCTGGAGGTGCAGGATAACAAAGGAGCAAATCTGGTTAGGAGAGATGCCCTGTAGGCACTAGACCACTTTGTTGCTTCTGAAGCTTACAGACTTCAATGACCCTCAAACCTAGGGTCCTGATTCAGACCTACTTGGACCCACCAGTCCTCAATACTCAGCCTCACTTTCCCCAGGGCCCTTCTGCCTGACTGCCCCCAGCCCTTACAGGCCAGCAGTGTTCCTGCAGGCCACCCAGCCAACGTCAGGACCTAGGAGAGGTCAAAGTGGCTGGTCAGGGACCTCAGCCTTTTTGGGTACTATCAGTGAGCTCCTTTGAAATATCCAGAGATTTACCACCAGTGTCCAGGAAGGTTGCCTCTGGGACCCAGATAAGCACCTCCCCCCGCCATGTCTTGAAAACACACTGAGGGAAATCCTCTCTAGCCTTGTCCTCTCCTCCCCAGTCCCCTTGCGCTGTTGGATTCAACATATCCTACTCCCAGGTTTGCAAGACAGGCCCCTTCAGTCTCTAGGTGACCTTAGCTGCTCTGCTGGCTCCAACTATTGTGCGGCATAACGCAGACTGAGGGTCCTCTGCTCTGGTCCGGAGACGTCAGAGTCTCCGTGACCATGTGGATGAATTCGGCTTTGGGGGTGTCTATCCCCATGACCTAGGAAAGTGGATATGCCACTACGCAGTCCCCACTCCATGCGCGCCCAGTCTGCTGCGTCTGCATGTCTTGCTCCTGGGGACTGAGACCACGGCTTAGAAGCAAGCCCCCGCTGCACCTGCACCAAGGCCACGGGGCGCATGCGCGGGCCGCGGAAGGCGGGGGCCGAGCCGGGAGGGGTCCTGCAATCCTGCAGGTCTGCTGCCGGGAGCTATCGGGTGTCAGATTGGAGTGGGGTGGGGTTCGGCCCTGCGTCAGGCAACGCGGGCATCATACCCTATTTCAGCCTCACTCTCTCTCAGTCCGTTCGGCCCCGGCGGCGGGATCGGAGGGCGCCTGTCAAGGGAACACGGTGCCCCTCAAGAGGACTTCGGCCGGCCGGGAGCCGCGTACAGACAAAGGGGTGGGAGACGGAGACACTTCCGTGACTACTGCCAGCGGCCGCGGAAGAAGAGGACGCATTGCTGCAGGGACGCCCGCCCGAGCTCAGCGGCAGCTTTCCCGGAGCTCAGGGGTGGGGTGAGAGGCGTCCATCACTCGCTGTCCTCCTGGCGAGCCTCAAGCCCCCCCCACGCAGCGCCTCTCTGAGCACCCTGTCCCTGCTGCCGCTCACTCGCGGCTCACTGAGGACCACTTCCTCGCACGCTGTCGCTCGGCCCCTCTGTGCTCCAGCGGTCCGCCAGCCACGCAGCCCAAGTGTGCCATCGGGCGGGCGCGGAGGCGGCGTCTGCTCCCACCCCCGAGATCACATGGTGACCCTCGGCAGCCAATGCAGTGGACGCTAGGACCCTGCGGGACCCCGGGCGCCGCGACTGCACCCGCGCCGCTGCATTATAAATACTTCTCCAAAATGCGGCGCAGCTCCCTGCGCGCGCCCCGGCCGCCCGCCGCCTCCGCCCTGCGCCCCTGAGCCGCTGCTGCCGCTGCCGCCGCCGCGGGTCCGAGGGCGCCGCGCCCTTGCCCTGGGCTCGGGCTCTGCCCGTCGCCGCCGGCTCGCGTCCCTGCGCTGCGCCGCCCGGCCGGGTGCATGCATTGTGGGCCTCCCGACATGGTCTGCGAGACGAAGATCGTGGCTACGGAGGACCATGAGGCACTGCCGGGGGCCAAGAAGGACGCGCTGCTCGCTGCCGCCGGAGCCATGTGGCCCCCGCTGCCCGCCGCGCCCGGGCCGGCCGCCGCACCCCCACCCGCGGCAGGTCCCCAGCCCCACGGAGGCACCGGGGGCGCGGGGCCGCCGGAGGGGCGCGGCGTGTGCATCCGCGAGTTCCGCGCAGCAGAGCAGGAGGCGGCGCGCCGCATCTTCTACGACGGCATCTTGGAGCGCATCCCCAACACGGCTTTCCGCGGCCTGCGGCAGCACCCGCGCACCCAGCTGCTCTACGCCCTGCTGGCGGGTCAGTGCGCCGCGGGGGGCGGGGGGCCGGCGGGGCTGCGGCAGTCCCGCTCCGGGCCCGGCTCCAGCGGGTCCAGCGGACCCCTCCGGGGACCGTCGCGCGTGACTTTCTCTGTCTTCCTCTTGGGTCCCCATCTCGGAGCCCGGGTGCCGCGTCGGTGCGCTGGACCGGCTGGGAGGAGACCTGCTTGCACCCGCGGCGCAGCGCTCCGGGCTTTCGGCCAAGGCGCCTGGGCCGGGCGTGGGAACTGGCGCAGGCTGAGTGCAGGGCGCTGCGGACTGGGAAGCACTGGGTTGGCAACTCAGTCCGCGGCGCCCGTTCTCTCCGTCGCGGGGCATCCCGGGTGGGGGCGGCGTGACAGGGCAGGTAGCGCTGCAGCTGCGGCCCGGCGCGACAACTATATATAATCTGCGGGCGGGGGAGGCCGCCTGAGGCTCAAGTGCTAATTTATGACGGGAAGACAGCCAGCTCCGCGGGGAGCCAAGGAGACTGTTCGCAAGAGCCAGGGCTACAGAGAGGATACCCCGTGCTGTCTTGAAGCACACCCCTCCCAGTCCATGCCATCCCATTCTGCAGATGAGGAGCTTGAGGCGACTCACCCAAGGTCATTCAAAGGAGGCAACTTTTGCTCTTGTGCGTTTTCCTCCTTTACAGCATAAATGAAGTTGGAAATGGTGTGGTGCTTGTCGCCTGATTCTATCAGCCTAGTGGGCTCCGAAGCTGCCCAGAGAGGGCTCTAGTTGGGTCCCTTCACACCCCGGCGCCGGATGACCTGCTTGGATAGGCAGTGCCCTGGTGTCTCTGTCCAGCTCTTTGACTTAGCACCAGGCTAGGTGGAGTAGGCAAGAGCCCCTTTGGAAACTGGGGGAACCAAGGGCTGACCAGCACTGGTCTGGCCTAGGCTGTATTGTGGACCTTTGTTTCAGGTTGTGAAGGTAGCAGGTGTTTACTCCAGAGAGCTTGGAAATGAGGAAGCGTAGAGAGGGGGACTGCGGCCATGACTGCTACACAGAGAAACAGTCCCTGGTGGGGAGCATCCCTAAGCACTGATTTACCAAGGTGGTTTGGACTCCGGGTGCTGTGGGACCTACCCTTGTCCAGCCTGGCCGCGTGCCCCTCTGTACCTGCCACCTCACCTGTGCTCCCTTGCCTGCAGCCCTCTGTTTTGCTGTGACCCGCTCACTGCTGCTGACATGCCTGGTGCCGGCTGGGCTCCTGGCCCTGCGCTACTACTACAGTCGCAAGGTGATTCTGGCCTACCTGGAGTGTGCGCTGCACACGGACATGGCTGACATTGAGCAGTACTACATGAAGCCACCTGGTGAGTTCTGGAATTCTCCAACTCTGCCTACTCCCTCCCTCTTTACCTTCAGGCACAAGAGGGCCTAGGATGTGGGATCCTGATGTTCTGAGCCTTCTGAATGACTGCAGCCTCTAGCTAAGGGTGGAGTGTCAGCAGGGGAGAGCCAGAAAGAAGTCCTCCCCACCGAGTCCTCTGTTGGATACCTTTTCTTGGTACCTGCCATTTGTTTGTGTGTTGGGGGGTAAAGTCCTGGCTGGATCCTGAGGCAGCCCAAAGTGGGGGGACCCTGGGTGGCACAGAAGATGTCCCAGGGAGCAGTAGATTGAGCGGGGGGGGGGGGAGTTCAGGCCTTACTTGGCCTCCTGACTAGGTTAGTGAACCGCAAGGTATTATCCCAGACCCCAAGGCTTTCTGTAGAAAGAGGGTCTGGGATTCTGGTCTACAGGAGCTAGAGTCTAGTCTCTCCCCAAGGCAAGCCATGAAGCAGACTGGGTTGTGGGAACCAGAGGAAAGAGACATTTTGGGATGTGAGGGGCTGAGCATAGGGGACTGGCCAGCAGGAACCAGGTCTATTTCAAGGAAGGGCAGCCTCTTTGGCCTTGCCAGCTATAGTTTTTGCCAGTTCCTCCCTAGCCATTCTGTCTTATACCCCAATGTCCTGTTTAGCTGGCCTTGGTGCCTACTGTTCTTCTCAGCCCTTACCCACATCCAAATACAGCTTCCTGTCCTCTGCAGGGCCCTCGACCTATCTGCCTCTGCTTGGGAAGGGAAGGTGTAAAATGGCTGAAGCGGGCTTCAGTACATAGTTGATGGGTGTGGTCAGAGGTTCCTTTCATGTGCTCTTTCTGAACTGAACCTCAGGGGTTAAAGTGTGGCAGTTCTTGCTAACCCTTGAGGATCTGCTGGGTTTACTGGACCCCATAAGAGGTAATGCTGGACATCAGCTAACTGGGCTGTGTAGATTTATGGGAGTTCTTACGCAAGTGGGGAAACAAGACCTGGGAAGAGTGACAACTGGGTGCTGGAGGCTGTCCTGACCTCTGGTCTGGTTGTGTGGGTGAGTGTGGGGCAGCTGGTAAGAGGGCAGTCGACATACGGGGTTAGGGAAGTCCTAGAGGCTCTGGGACCAGGGCCCTCCATGAGTTGGCAGCTTTCTCTGCTACACTGGTGGAGGGTGGGCAGGCAGCACCCTCAACTGTAGAGCACAAAGTCTGCACGGAAGGAACTGGCTTCCCCAGAGGTGAGAAGTGTAGGGAGGAGTGCTTCCTACTGCCAGGTGAGGGCAAGTACAGGTGTAGAGCCTTTGGGGGAAGTGTGGTCCTTTGAAGGAGGCTGGAGGTGGAGTGGGTGAGGCCAAAGGAGGCCAGATCACCCACAGCAAGTCTCTCTCTTGGCCGGGCCAGACGCTCCCTCTCTCCTACAGTCCCTCAGCCTTAATTTTTTAGAAAGGTCTCTGGGTATCCCTTTGACCGTGGACCTCTAGTGCATGAAGGTGACTGGATTCCCCATGGTCTGTGCCCTTCAGCATTCCTCCCATCCAAACTCCTTGTTTTCACTCTCTCCTTTCTTGTAGGGGTAAGGGTGGGATGTCTTCACTGTAGGTGGGAATGGCTAGCCTGGTGTCAGGCTCATTGCCCAGTAGAAGCTGGGTTACTGGGAATGGGGGTGTGTGGCTGTCTGTAGTCCCTCACTGGGTTATAAAACATTCTTCTGGGTTCTCATTCAGTTTTGTCCCTGCGAAGATAGTGGGGGAGGAGTATGGCAGGCCAAAGGCTGGGATTCAGAGCATGTCAGCAAGACATACTCTGCCCTGTGGCCCTGGCTGTGATTGTCTGTGGTTTTTCAGGAGGTCTGGGGGTAGGAACCTGCTTTGTCAACGCCTGTCCAGCTCCTAGGCACCTCCAACTACTATTCTGGCCAGGCTAATAGCGACTCAGGCTGGAGCTGATTGTGTCTGCTTGTGACATGGGATCCTGTCATGCAAAGTTGGGCAGGTTGGCCTGGACTGAGGCTTGTGGAATGTTCTTGCTGCTCAGGGGGTCTAGAGGAGGCAGGTTATCCTAAATCGTGGCCTCCCGTGGTGCCCAAAAGAGCAGAATAGTGGATCAGGGCACTGGAGGATTGAGCAACATTGTGATAGCCTGACATGGTACCCAGCTGGAACAGGCAGCTCTGAAGTCTCTCCAGTCTTCCATGCAAAATGTCCCTGACTGTCATGTCCTTCCTAGGTTCCTGTTTCTGGGTGGCTGTCCTGGACGGCAACGTTGTGGGCATCGTAGCCGCACGGGCCCATGAGGAGGACAACACAGTGGAGCTGCTCCGCATGTCCGTGGACTCGCGCTTCCGCGGCAAAGGCATCGCCAAGGCTCTGGGCAGGAGGGTGTTGGAGTTTGCCATGTTGCACAACTATTCTGCAGTGGTACTGGGCACCACAGCCGTTAAGGTGGCCGCCCACAAGCTCTATGAGTCACTGGGCTTCAGACACATGGGCGCGAGTGATCACTACGTGCTGCCTGGCATGACCCTCTCGCTGGCCGAGCGCCTCTTCTTCCAGGTCCGCTACCACCGCTACCGCCTGCAGCTGCGCGAGGAGTGACCACCACCACCTGCCCACCACCCTGTCTGCCCCCGTCCACCTCTGCCCTCCTGCTCGCTGCCTAGTGCGGCCCTGCTTACCAATGCTCACCTTGGCGTTTGTTTGGGTTTTCCTTTTTCAGCATCACGCTGGTTCATCACCTGGCTGGTTCTGGGGCCACAGGGTCCCAGTCCAGAGTGCTCATCTGCAACACTCTGGTGGGGTGGATTGTCTGCAGCCATGGCCCTTGCCTCCCCAGCCCATCAGAGTGGTTCATCATGCCTTGAAGAGTAGCATTGTGGACCATCTGAACTATCCACAAAGCTGCCCAGCCTGCCTCCATCAGGGAAGGACTAGCCTTGCCCATCAAGCACAGAACCTCTACAAGAACCCCCACCCCCCAAGGAGCAGAACCCTGGCCCCCAGCCAGGCTAAGGCTCAGCTATTGGCCTCTGGAAGAGTGGTCTGCTGGGCTGGCCAGCCACTGCCCTGTGGGAGGCTGAGCTGGCCCCAGGCCCTGCTTTGCCCTGTGCATGCTAAGGACATGGCCTGGCTGCAGCATGCCGCATGCCACAGCCCCCTGCCCCGCTGCCCTGCCCAGCCTGGACCTCAGGCCTGAGCTGGTGAGCTCCCTTGTCCTGTCCTGAGCTGGCCTCTGGAGGGCCTACCTGCCTGACTCTGTCTGCTCTATGGTGGGGCCTGGCCTGGCCTGGCCTAACCTGGCTCTATCCACTCCTGCTTTGCTTCAAAATCATCTTACCTCTTTCCCTTTTAGTCCCTGTGCCTCCTTGCTCTGGCTGACTTGGCTGGTCGCCCGGGTTTGGTTCCTGTAGCAATCCACTGCACAGCATGGTGGGAATTTCATGGGGGTGGGGGATACCTCCTCCAACACCTGTTAGATCAGGTGGCCACCTCCCAGCTGCCTGAGGTCCTGTGGCCTCATGCTGTTTGTGGGGTCTGCCCTGTGAATGTAACTAGCCCAGGCTGTTGTTGGCAATGCCTGCCACAGCTTCTCCCAGCCTGAAACAACCCATTCTCTAATAAGTTACGTAGACAGAATAGCACTCTGCATGACTTTAATTACTGGGACAAAATGGTAGTTTGAGCCTCCAGACACACATCTGTGTGGTGCTAGCATACGCACGGTCTCTGGCCCCATTTGATGGGGGTGGGTGGCCGGGTAGGTAGAAGATTTCAGTTTGAAGTATGGAAGGAGATTCTAATTTAGTATAAATGCCCCCAAAGTGCCCTCACAACACAAAGTCTGTGAGGCTCAGGCTGTCCCTTGATTCCTTGTATGCAGGATTGAGGGGACTGGAGGGTCCTAAAACCTCATAGGAAGGGCTGGGCACTGCCTTGAGGACAGGAGGTGGTGGTTGGGGTGGGTCCAGCCATCCCACTACAGACTAATCTGCTAGGCCAACTGTGCTCCTGGCCTCTCCTTTTTGAGGTCCCACTTAGGGTCCAGCCTAGATGGGGGTGAGGATGGCCTAGGACAGGGACAGGCAGTAGCTGGCAGTGTTCATATGGCCAGCTGAAACTTGGATTTAGCTTTAGTGCAGAGGGTGCATAAAGGCCCATCATCCACACTCCTCTGTGTGGGGTTTGGGTGAGGAGAGGCAGGCTAGGTAGACCATAGAGCTGGGCCCCTGGCACCAAGGCTACATTATTAGAAAGGCTCTTTAGAGTTAATGAGTTGGTGGAACAAGCCCAGCTTCCTGAGGGGCGTTTTGTCCTGTTAGCAATTGAGGCATTTGCAGAACACTGTACAGACCCCGCTCTCCCCTGTACATTCCTCCCTGGTGGTGCCCGGTCCCTGCTTGGGGATGGGAGTTTTGTAGACTGTACAGAAATTGGCACCCTATTTTCTTGCAGCTCTCAGATTTTGTTAATCTGGATTATACAGACAGACGTAAAGTGTTTTAGCAAAATGGAAAACAAACAGTTGTGCCTTTTTTCTCTTTTCTGTTTGGAGTGGTCTCGGCTCGGGGCTAGTCTTAGTTGTTGTGGGTGTATAGGGACTGCTGGTGTCTGAGGCCTGTGGGGTCAGAGACTGCTGGTGGGTCTGAGGCCTGGGTGGACCTAAGTGGGAGCCAGGTCTGCTAGACACCACCAGCTGCCAAGGCTTCTCTGATCCTGTGCCTTTGGAGCCTGCAGTCTTTGGGGTTGGAAGGTATGGCAGGGCACTGGGATCACTTGGGCCAGGGCAGAGCTTGGGGATCCTGTAGCCACCCATGATACTGACCTGGGATGAGCTCATAGTAGATTCCTCCATCCTAGGATCCTGGGGGGAGGTGTGGCCCTCCCAGCCTCTTGGCACCTGTCCAAGGGAATCTCTTCCTGCTGAATAACCCATGGATAAAAGGAAGTTTGCTGGGCTCTTGAGTATTCATTGCCTTCTGTTGCTGCCAAGACTTGGTAGAGATTCCAGGAATGGATGGTGGGGTAGGTTCCAGCTGTACTAGGGTGGAGCCTCACCAAGCAGTATGTAGCTTGGCAGGGTCTGAGGCCCTGGAGACATACCTGTCTCCCTGTGCTGGAGAAAGCTGAGCGTGCTGATGACTGGGCCTGACCATGTGCACTCCATCCTCCCAGCCAGAGCTATGTAAGTGCTCTGTACATGTGCACTGATGTGAATTTTGTGTTTGTTGAGATTCTAATGTTTCTTCTACCTCTGTGGAGGCCCTCCTCCCTGCTCCACTTGGTGGCCATGTGCTTGGTGCCCCTCCTCTGAGTTTGTTAGCCATCTCCCCCTCCCTTGGGCCTTCAAGCATCTGAAGTGGCCAGCACCTGTACTCTGGGCCTGGGAAGGCCCAGGAAAGGCCAGCCTGGGGTCTGACTCTGCTCAGGACCTGTGCCTTCCAGGAGTTCTATTGTTTGCTTGGAAACTTTAGAGTAGGGAGGGAGGAAGAGATGATGGAATGTTCCAGAATGTCAGTGTGGGATGACCCTACAGCATAGATGTGGTATACCATTGCTTGACTGTCCCCTGGCAGCTCCCACTGCCCAGGCATGTGTAGATGCCTTGTCTCTGCTGTATGGTCAAGAGGCTGCCCTGCATGTGCTAAGATCTGGCCCCTGAAGGGTGGGGCAGCACACTCCTGAGTGTATCGAGGCCATGCCCTGGTGGCCACAACAGCCTCTTCCATGTCCTGATCTCACCCCTGTGCTTACTCTTCATTCTAGCACTGCCCTGAGGCTGGGCAGCTGCTGAGGGATGTGCTAACCTGGGTGAGGTAGTAAATGGCTGGCTCTGGCTGGGAGGCCCCGTGGATAACAGGTTAGTCTCAGGGGCTTGGATAGTTCCTATCTTGCACAGGTACCTTTCCTGAGATAAGGGGATAGGTCAGAGGACAGAGTCAGGGACACACCTGAGGTGAGCTTGGGCTTTGGCCCGGTGCCTGGAACTTGCTAGACCATAGGACGGTCACTTGTTGCTGGAAAACACGCTGCCCATTCCTACTTGCCTTTGCCAGCCCCAGGTAGCCTCATGGTCACAGCTTCCTGGAGGTGGCTTCCAGGGCTGTGCCTGTGGCTAGAGGCCTGGGGACAAAAGTTTTTGGGTTTTGCTGGTGTCCCAGGCTTCTTGGGGGCTGGATGTGACCTCCTAGCTGGGTAGGAACTATGCAGCACCCATCTTCTTGTCAGGCCCAATGGGGCAGGCTGAGAGAGTTGATCTGAGATGGTTGTGTCTCCCTGTCCATGGTAGCAGTACTGCTGGCACCCGTTGCTACTGCCCTCTTGGTCCGTTGTAGCCTCAGTGATGGTTCTGTCCTTGGCTCTTGGCTACACTGTATGCTGGGTGTGGGGCAGACCATGGGCTGTGTTGCTCTTTGGTGCTGCCATCACTGTGCTTCCAGCAAGGGAGGGGTCCATGACAGTGGGCGGAACTTGCCTGGAGCTGGGTGGAAGATGAGCCTTGACTTACCACTGTTGGATGTATTTTTTTAAAAACAGCAATAATTAGCCATTTTAAAGAAGGGGTTTACCTGCATAAATGTGCATGCGCATTGTGTATGTGCATCTGTGCACATGTGAGTATGTGCATCTGAGAGGATATGTTTGCATGTGTGAGCATCTATGTGTGTGAAGGAAATGTGCAGCACCCACCAGGTCGTCTTGCCAGGCCCAAGGGGCAGCCTGAGAGAGTTGACTTGAGGTGCACATATGGGTGCACACACAAGCACATGCCATTTATGATCATGTGCTCATGTGATTATAATGTGAAATCACATTCACATGTTGCATGTGTGTGAGCATGTGTGAGCATGTGTGGGCATCTCCATATGTGTATGAATGTGTGCATGTGTATGCTTGTATGTGCACATGTGTAGCAGTGGGAGGGAACCTGTGGGGACAGCCTCTGATCTGGGAGGCGCTTTGTGGTAAGAAGCAGGGTCTTGTGGTTGTCTCTCACTATGCCCATCCCCTCCCCTGTCCTGCCCAGCTCCATGTGAATGTAGCTCAACCCCACTAGGCCAGCTGAGCCTCTGCTGGCCCTCACCTCTGTCCATCAGCTGAGGGTAGGAGAGAGGAGCTGGAGGCCCCTTGGATAGGCCAGGGTGCAAAGAGTATATGACACAGTGGTAGATCTCACTGTTGTGGTTTGTTCCTGAATTTGTACTGTGAGCCCATGATGGGGTTGGGGGTGTCCTGAGACCCCAGGATGTGCCAAAATAGCCCCTAGGGCCAGGTGACGAGCCGAGTTCCCAAGAAGACAGGCTGGGGGCCCAAGTGGGTGTGTGCCCCTGCCTGCACGGCCCCCAATGCTGCTGTTTTTCAATAAAACCAGAATTGAAGGAACCAGGCTCTGTGCTTTTTTGAGGCACCTCCTGTGGTGGATATACTGGCTTTCCCATGCTCTGGGCCTTTTCTGACTGTTTGGCTGAGCTGGACACTGGAGCAGGAGTGGAATCACTGAGGCAGGGTTAGGGCCTTGCTATCCCTGTGGAGTTAAGGCCCCTTCCTGAAACTATTACCAAGCTCAACCTCTCACGATGCTCTGTCTCCCACTAGGGAAGAGGAGCTTGGACTTCTCTCTGGCCAGCGATGATTAGGGGCTATAGCCCTTCATGAATTCCTAAGCATGGTAGATATAGAGGCAGCAGCCAGACTAGGACAGCTTGGCTGTAGGGTGGAGAGGTAGTAGGGGTGGAGTGGTGGTGAGGGTAGAGGGGTAGGGTTGCCTCAGGCCCAGCAGCAACCTGAAGATTTTACTCTACCTCTATGCTGGTTCCCTATAGTCCTTGAGCAATTAAACTTCAGGCACAGCTGAGACACCTTTGGTGCAGTCTCCAGGCTACCAAGCCCCACTGTTCTGGCCTGGTTCTGGTAGATATTTACAAGGCCAACACTCCTGGGCTTATGGGGGTTGGATCCATGAAGAGCTTCATTCTTCTCCTGAGGGCTCTCCTAGACCCTGATAGTGCTGGCAGCCTCTTGCTGGGTGTCTCTGCCACAGGCTGTGTCCCCTGCTGGCTTGTCTACCGGTCTACCAGCATGCATCTTAGGAATGATGAGATTAGAATCTTCACAGGTATCGGTGTTGGCCAGGTTGAGGGGTAGACATCTTGGTGAATGAAGACACATATCCTGTCAGATCCCTGTGCAGTTACCAGCCAGTCTTGTCAGTAGGGAGACCCTTGAAGGCTATGGGAGGGTTTCCAAAACTCAGACACTCAGCTCAGCCCCTGGATAGCTTTCTAGGAGTTTCCTCTGGAGGAATGTAACCATGGCATACTCAGGGGCTGCCCTTCCCAGAGGCAGAGGGACTTGGTGATCTTTTCCTGGGCTTGGGTGTCATAATAGAGCCCATCTTTGAAACATAACCAGAAGGCCACCTGCTACAGCCTTTTATCTTAAACTCTGTGGTGCTTTCCCCAGTGCCAGATGTCAGCTTCCTTACTAGACATGGTCCATACTGGATTATGTTTGGCACAGAGAAGAAGAGGACTTGGGTAGACACTCATCAAGGGCCAAACTTCGTTGAGGCACTTCTCAGTCCAGCCTCTTGCTGAACAGACTATATATTGTATGTGTGTATGTATGTGTGTGTGTGTGCCTATGTGCCCATAGAAAGAACCCACTCACCTAAGGATGAAGACAGCTTCTCATTAAGCATTTACTTCAGGTGCTCCAGTTGTCCCACAAAGGGTTAATGTGGCCTGAATCGGTTTAGAGTACAAGCTTGTGACATGGGAAAGGCTGTAGGATGGGTTGGTGGAAGCAAATTCTCTCATTCCACTGTTGCCTAGGGACACAGACAAACTTAGGATGAAACACAAAATGTCCTTTATGGGGGTAGGGAACAGGGACCTCACTGCTAGCTGGACTGTTGCTGGTAGATGGGTCAGGCTGAGTCCAGAGTCTCCTGCAGTAGGGCCAGGTGTCCCCATGAGCGGCCAACACTCAAGTTCACCTTTAGGGGTACCTGTGGGGTGACAACCAGAAATGAGCTCCAAGGAGAAACCTAGTCACCTCCCAGGCCCCATGCAGGTGGATGAGGAAGCAGTGCTCAGGGAGACACTTCTACAGAGAGAGGAGCCACACATCCCAGCATAAATGTAAACATACTCATGTAAAATCCCATCTCCCCTGTTGTAAGCTCACATCACATGCATGTACCATGGTGGACCTCCCTATCTACCAGGCTTCTGTGTGCAGGCCTACAGGGCTCCCAGGCATGGTGCCTTAGGGTAGGGATGTCTTAGGGCAACACATGCTCACTCACCCTGTCAGGGTTGTATTATGCTAGAGAGCAGAAGACCTCTACTAGAGGTGGGCCTTTTCCCAAGGCACTAGACAAAGTCACCTTGTCAGAAGAAAGGGGCTGGTCCTCAACTGTTTCCCACAGTCTTCTGCCTCACAAGGGCCCCCTGATGGCAGCTAAATGTAGTTTCCTTGGTTTTAAGCTCCTCCCTCAGCACCTATTTCTTGTTCATCATAGGCACTGTAGATTTCGTAGACTACCTCAGGGAGGAGGAGTCCTGCCACCAACTGGGTAAAATACATATGTTGCTCCTTGACTCTGCCACTTGGCCACCTGTCTAGAGGCATGTCATGCCCTGGTGTGCCACAAGGTGTCTTTCAGTAAAGGGAAAAGTGAGCAGGCAGAACCTTTTCCAGGAAGGCCTCAGAGCCTGTGAGCAGAGCCAAGGCTGTAGTCAGCCAGCTTCTGTGGCTCTGCTCAGTTCTACGGGGTCCACTGGGCTGGATTCTTTACTGAATGGGAAGATGTGTTTCTGGTATCATCTGGGTGGCTCTATAGGCTTCCGGGCTCCCACCTGTACTCACTGCCTGGTTGTCCACACTGCTCTGGAGAGCCTGTGCTGAAACATCCAAATGTCTTTTCTAGACAAGAACCCAGAACTACCTCCAAGCAGGGTTTAGCTAGGTGCAGAGTAGGCTTGTATTTAGACATGCCCTGGGGTGTACTTGGAGTAGGTAGGGCCCAGTGCTCACACCTTCAGTGATGTTGAGTCTCAGGGAAGGAGTTTAGCCAGAGGCTGGTAGAAACAACAGCAGATATCCATGGTGGTGTCTTCTTACCAGATAGCAGCCAAGTCATTCAGTAGGGAAAGGGTTCCTCAGCAGGGCAGGGGCAAGTGTAGGCTTGGAGGGCAGTAGTCCTGGTGCACAAGACTGGAATTTGCCTTCTTCCTTGCCCTCCTGACCTCTGAAGGGGATGGGGCCCTCTTGCACACCCTAAGTTGACTCAAGGTGTAAGGGGTGTAGCAGTGATGCTGGGCAGATGTGTCTCCTTACCTGCAGCTGCAGTTCCAGGGTCTGGACCTGTTGCAAGGACTCCATGATCCTTCTGACAAGAGCTAGAACAGGAAAACAGCTGCTTACAGGCTGTGCGGGTCAAGGTCTGGCCAGCCTTCTGGCTTCCAGGCCCTAAGAGTTGAGGATTAAGGAACCTTTAGGCTTGCTGCTTGATCCAAGTTACCTGGTTGATCCAAGTTACCTGGTTGTTTCTTGGGGCTACAAGTCACTCAAACTCTTGATCCTCTCATATAACCTCAATGCTTATTCAATTCCCAGCGACCACATCTACAGTTCAGGATATAGCTTAAAGGCCCCCAGGTCACTTCTGGTCACTGTACTGAATGAATTGGCCTCGCCCTTCCACCCCAGCTCTTCCCAGCAGTGGCAGGCCAACGGAGGTGGGTGGGTGCTGTGACCACACCAGCAGTTCTGGCTGTGATGGTACATCTAGGAGGAGGCAGCAGGTTACTCTTCCTAGTCAGAACAGTCTGAGCATGGAAGGGCATAATATCTTTGAGGCTTCTGGCAAAGGTCTAATGTTCTTGTCATGCCTCTGTAGGTAGCTCTGTGGCCCTAACAGTGCCTATGCACAGAAGCTTCATGGCTGTTCTGGAGCACTAGACATATATCTTCTCTTACTAGGGTCACCAAGTCAGCTGCCAGCTGGGAGAAGCCTCGAGATATAGAGAGAAGCTTCAAGGAGATAGCACATTTCCTAACTGTTGGACACCACCACCCACTATGCTCCCCTGGACGCACCTGCAAACTCAGGGATCTGAGTATCTTCCACTTCAAACAGCAGCTCATCATGAATTTGGGCAACTAACCTGGAGAGGAAGGAAGTCACTTGAGAGTGTGGATACCTACCTCCACATGGGACTTAAGGTTTTCCTTCAAAGTTCCTTATAGGTTGTTTGGCATTTGGTTTATGAAAGAGTGTGGCTCTGAGGGGAATAGGTATAGCCATCCTGGCACTATGGTCTGGGGTTGCTTATCATCAGACAGCTCCAGGATGTGGGCAGGAGGGGCCAGGAGAGAGAGAGAGAGACCTGATTTCTGGAGAGCTGTCCAGCCCCTGACAGGCTGAGCATTTTATGCTCATGGAAGACTGGCAGAGCAGAGAAAGAACTCCCTGGAAAAGCAAAACACATGGGACCTACTCTGCATACCCATGACTATCCTGGAACTCACTCTGCAGACCACACTGGCCTCAATTCAGGGATTCTTCTGTCTCTGACACCCAAGGACTGGGATTAAAGGTGTGCGCCACCACCACCTGCTATGTTGCCCACTTTCCACTGACTGGGATATCATGGTGTGCACAGATGGGGCAGCAACGCTGAAGTGAGTTAGGAAAGTCCCTCCTGCCGTGAGGAGGGACACTAAACCTAGAGTGTGGCGGGAATGCACCCCTCAGCTTAGAGGAAGTGATGGAGCAATATTTCTTTTTAATTTTCTTTTAAAGTCATAAAATACTCAACAGAACTTGAAAAATTTTTAAAAATTTAAGGTACAAAACTACATTGGATATGGGGTATTTTGGATGGCCCATATAGTATTGAACATGTACTCTGGGGCACCAAACCACAGCTCTAGTTGAACTTGGCTTTGAGGGCTGCTCAGATTCCACTTTCTGCATACTCCTGTATGGCTTCTTTAGCCCCTTCTGGCATCAGAAGGAATCTAGGAAGCAGTGCTTTGTTGAGTAAGCATGTTGGAGCATGTTGGAGGAACAGGTACAGACTTGCACAGGATAATAAATGAAATGCTGGGGATCTTGGAGTACTCAACCCACAGACCTATGTCAGCACATGTGCTAGCTGGCTCAAACCTACAGGTTCTCTAGAGGGTGGGATCCTAGTGCCCAAGCTTCCCAGGGAGATGACACTTTAGTATCCTGTGGCTGTGTGCTCCCTAGATCTGGTGCTAGGACCTTTGTGGGTCTATAGGGGTGTGTGGTGCATCCCTGATTCTGCACACTCGGGGCTGGAGTATGTAGCACATGTGGTAGGGATGGTCGCCAGGACCTATAGCCCTCAAGGAAGGGTCGAGAGCATAGAAGGATCCCATGAGCTCTGTCCTCTATGGTCCTTGCTCTGTCTCCTGGATGGGACTCTGAAGGCAACAATCACATGCCATATGTCCCCCACTGCTGTTTGCCCTGTGCTTCCCTATGGCAGCCAGAAGCTGAGGCTTCACAGGGAAGTTGTGGCAATCCCCTATGCCAGCAGTGATACTGAGAGCTGATGGTGAACCCTGTCTGGAAGGAAGAAGCAGCCTTTAAATGTCTGAGTAGAGTAGCCACAATGGTACTTGACAGCAGAGTTCTATGGTGAACTGTCCTTCTGTCTTCTCTGTCACCCTTTTGCTGTTGAATGGGAAAGAGAAGGAGCTACATTGCAAGCATATATAGCATCTCTTCTATGATGGGGTGACCCAGACGTCATCTGTTTTCCAACTCCCAGGAAGATGTGCAAAGGGTTGCTTTGACCATCACCACCCTTCTCTTGCCTGGAAGGTGCTGTGATCGTCAGCACAGCTGTCTATCATGACAACAAAGGGATATCATACCAAAGGATTATCAAAATGCACATACTAAAGATTGTTCAGGCAATGGATGTATTATGTTGGGGCCAGACTAGGGAATAGTGAAGTATACATTCACTATTCATCAGAAACATTCACAAAGGGGTGTCTTTGTATCTTATGTACTGCCTCTGGCTAGGGCACCAAGACTGCCCTTCCAGAAGTCTGACTGTGGCAGGACATGACAGGGACTAAGCTGTAGCACTGATGTGTTTCCTTAAACTAACATCAAGGTGTCTGTCAGGCCTTGGCTCCCAAGGGGCTTACTTTTCAGAAGAGGCAGTTGCAACTCTTTCCAGATTTAGCAGAAGTGCCTTCACACTTCTTGAAATCACACCATGCAATCTGAGCTGCCAGTGTGGCAGGACCTAATAAGTGTGACTGTTAGTCACTCACACATCACCATCCCAGACACAGAGACATCACACTTCTCACTGGAAGCTGGGGCACAAGAACAAGCGGGAGAAACAGAAGAATGCAGGCTTAGACTACCCAGGCTCCCAGAAGGAGGGCATGCCTCCATAGCTCACATCTGCTCTACAGAGGACACAGAGCTACTGTATTTGTATTTGCATCTGGTTGACCTGACACAGGCAGACTGATCCTGGTTCCTTTGAGAGAACTTTCCAGAAGGGCCTAATCTCATCCCTTTGCCAAGAGCCTGGCAGGAAGCTCCCTCCTACAGCACACTCTAGCCATGCTGAATTCTTTGTAGTTCCCTCCTAGAAGTACATTTGTGTGGTGGTACAAGGTAGGAGACTCTGCAACCCTGGGAGGACACCCAGCCGTAGCTTGGCTCTGCCTGGATTTGGACGAAGTACATGCTGCTTATTGCCTCATTTCCTCTTCTCTGTATCCCTGGTCAGATTCTCTGTGCTCAGATTTTGGAAAGATATTGCCACCAAGGAGACCCTAAGCCTTAATATGCCAACACCTCTCAAAAATTCCAAAAAAGAGCAACAGAGAGGCAACTTGCTAGCCTTGCATGTGGTAGATGCAGAGTGCTGTGTGCTTTAGGTAGCTGCCAGGATGGGCTGACACAGACTGGTCCTAGGTCCATTCACCTCAGGCAAGAACTGGCAGATGCTTTCTGAATTTAGGAAATTTCAGAATACAACCTGCATAGCCCAAGTGAAGCTAGAGGTTATCTCCAGAACAGTGGGAATGGGCAGATGTACAGACTTCAGAAATTGTAGGGAATTGGGAGGAAATCATTGGGACTACTAGGCAGAAGACAGGGAGGATGACAAGAGAAACCAGGTGAGCTCAAACTTTGCATAGTCTGCTCACACATGACTCTTGGCCATGCCTGGGGCAGGGCTCAGCTGTAGTGTGTGCACCTTCCTCTGAAACTCTTCCTAGAGGAAGTTTGCATCTTCCCAACCTATTTCTTTAAAATGTAAAATGAGTAAAAATGTGTCTGGAACAGGCTGCAAAAGGCAGTGAACAACAGGGCTTGGAGCTGAGCCTCCTGCCCTCGGCTACGTATGGCACCAATCTACAGTGCACACTCTTGTGCAGAGGTGTGAAAATTACTCAAGAACTCAGGTACAAGGCCAAAAATGACAGGGGAAATGTTTGAAGAAATAAAGTTTCAAAAGAAAGATGAGAGACTGTTGATAAGGGAAAATTAATGCCGTGAGTATGAATTATATTTCAGGCCAAGAGAAAACTGTAAGCTTGGTGAGAAATGCCCATAGCAAGTAGGTTCCCATGTCTCCAAAGCCCTCTTGGGGCTACTACACAGGGCACTTGAGACCTATTTCAAATTTTAGAACCTAAGGAAGCTGTCTTCTTCCTACTGGAGCTTTCCTCCTGGGAGCAGAGGTGCTGACCCACTTAGACAGTGATGTGGGCACCCTGGTGTGCAAAGGCCTATGGGAGGAGCCTGGGGTCTTTAGGGTAAGATGGAGGGTAGGTATTGTTGTGGGTAGAAGGAACAATTCTCTTTTGGCATCCAACAAACCTCACTGGCAGGAGTTCAAGGCTGGGCCTAGAAAAAAATGACTACTTCACTGACCTGGCTGTCAGGGTCGGGGATGTGGCAACTGCAGCAAAGATGTGAATCATGGCTAGCTTGCAGAGGTCTGCGGCTGAGCCTGTGGACACAAAGGGTTATGTTTTAGTGCCTGGGGCATGTGGTACACAGTGTCTGACCTGTTATAGAGGCATTTCCCATGCACACTGCTCACCCCCTGGCTAACAATGAAGGCGTTTTTGCAAACGGAAGCAAACCAAGCATCTTCAATGCAGCAGCTGCCTGCTTCTCAGTGCTGGGAAATGCAGTTCGGACGCCTTACTGAGGAGACCTGACCCTAGCCAGATTCTCCAGGTACAATAGAGGGGTCCCAACCCATGTCAAGTAACCCATTTCTAGGACTGTCTCTATTGTTGGTGAAGCTCCTAAAGACTCTAATTTCTGCTTTTAGATGGAAACAGAATGGCCTCTATGTGTTGTGAAAGGCCATCTCTATATTTCATTTTGTCCCATATAGGTCTAGCTATGTAGCTCATGATGACTTCATTTTTTTTTTTGGCAGTTCTGCTTTGGCTTGTAATCCTAGAGTTAGTGTTACAGGTAAACCTCACCGTATCCTTCAAAAAATGTCTTAAACATAACCATTGCTCTGCCACCCCATCACTAGCTGTGATGACACTTACTGCCAGGCAGGACAAGTGAGGGCTGTGAGGCCCACACAGGAGAGTTTTCAGAACATGATGTACCACAGCAAACTTCCAAATACCTGAGGAGCAGGGGACATGGACCTGCAGGGAAGGAGCCACAAGCAGTGGCAGACTAGGGGCTCTGGTACCTTGTACCACAAAGTTTACTGCCTGTCGCTCTGCTTGTGCCCGAAGCTGCTGGTCCTGTGCACAGATCCTCGGGAGAGGCCTCCTTCTACCCAAGATGGATGTCACATAGCCTAGGGTAGAGGAAGGAGAAGACAAGAGACAGGAACAAGTGGCATAGGACCGAGAGTGCTGTGCCTCCTCACTCTCCCCTCCACCGCTCACAAGGCTGTCCCAAATATTCCCAGGGCAGATGGCTTCTGTGGGAGAGTAAGAGCCACAGTGGGACGGCCTCTGTTGGCCAGGTGTCAAGCTTCTACTCTTTCCTCCTCTGGCTTCACTAAGATCTTACACAGAACAAAGAAGGGAAGGATTTTTTATTCTATGGAAGTCCAAAGCCATATGCAGGGCTTGGGCACAGGAGCCATTCAAGAGTGTGTGGCAGCTGGAATATAGATCAAAGGGTAGTGAGTATCTCATCACATGAATGTAGAGTGAGGTCTTCTGGGTCCCAAAACTTACATAGCTTGGGGCTCTTAGGAAACGCATAAAGGGTAGGGAAGAAATGGCTTCATAGTTAAGAGCACTTATTCTTCCAGAGGACCTGGGTTTACTTCCTGGCATCCACATCACAGCTACCACCTGTAACACTAGTCCCAGGGATTTGACATTCTCTTCAGGCCTCTGAGAGTACTGCATGTTCACAGACTTACATACAAGCAAAACACGTGTACACACAAAATGAAAATAAATAGATAAATACATATAAAAGTACATAAAATCCCACTACGTTGGGGTATTAGTTGGGGTTCTCTAGTGTAACAGAACTTATAGAATGAATCTCTCATTAGAGAGGGGATTTATTAGAATGATATATATGCTGCACTCCAGTTAATCCAACAATGGCTGACTGTGGACAAAAGTCCAGGAATCAGTAGCTGTTCAGTCCATGAGATGGGATATTGCAGCTGAAATCTCAAGAAGATGCTGAAATCCCAAAGAGGTAGGTTCTAATGCCAGTAAAGGAATGGACTTGCCTGCAAGGCCAGAACAAGCAGGCAAAGAGCAAAATCTTTCTTTTCCCATGTTTTTACATAGGTTTCCAGAGAAGTTTGGCCCAGATTAGAGGTCCCAGCTCAAATGATCTGAATTAAAGGTGTGTGTGTCTTCATATTTCAAAGATTTGGGTTAAATGTGGATCTTACTACTTCAAACTAAGCAAAGAATACCTCATAGGTGTACCCTCCACTTTTAAGTTGTAGTTAATCCTAGAGGTAGTCAAATTGACAACCATGAATAGTCATCACAAATCTACTCATTGTCAACTTGACACACAATCATATCTCTTTATAACATGATTAATTCATTCCCAAATAAAAAAATAATCAGGTCATAATAATGCCTAAACATAATATAACTATCCAGTATACAATTACAAATGCATTCTATATTTAATGGGTCATAATTACATCTAACATGATATAACCATCCCTTGCACAACCATAAATGAAGTCTAAATTTAGAATAGGTGGAAATGTCCCTTGAGGGATATTCTTTTACTATCTCAAACTTAAATATGACGACCATTGATATTCTCTTGATACTACATCATATGATAAAGAAATTGAGGAAAGAAAACACAAATATCTGTACAAACACATTATTTAACAAAATTCAGCAGAAACACTCATGTAAATTATAATCCTCATTTCTGTAACTAGTCATGTGGAGTTAGCTGGTCTTTATAACTACTTTCCTCTGCTACCCATTCTGTATTTCCTCTACCTTTGGGCAAGAACCTGAGCAGGTCTTGGCTCTTTTCTGGAAGGAGTTATCCATGCCTTCATTTCTGGCAGGTCTGAGGATTAGGTTATTGTAGTTTTCCACTGACTGTAATCACAGGACATGGTAGCATCAAGAGACATCCTAAAGGATCTCCTGCATTCCAGACATAATCTTTCTTACCTCCATTGTGGAGAAGCAATCCAATGTCTTTGTGGTAATCTAGACCAGCTACCCTTATTAACACTGTTATTTCTTTCTTAGCCTGTTGGCTTAAGGGCACTAGAAACACAAAGTGGCCAGGGTGAAGTCTGAGCTTCCAGTTCAGTAGAATGTTTGCTGTGTCTCCTGGCAGGAGCACTCCCCACTCTGGAACCAAAACTTCTAAGACAACAGAACTTAAGGTTGAGGGAACAAGAAAAATCTTTCCCTAGTGCGTCACTCCAGGTTATAGTGAGTAAAACTACTCCCTTTTCCATCCATTGATTCCTGGACCCATGGATCTTGGCTATGGGAGATGTTGATTCAAAGCATATATTGCCTTCTGAAGAACCCTGCCCAGCCTTCCATGCTGCTGCCATCTAACTGGTGTTGTAGCTGTGTCTTCAAAAGGCCATTCCATCTTTTCTTTCAGGTCAGCTGCTTCAGGATGGTGGAGAACATGATAAGACTAGTGGATTCCATGATCCTGTGCAAATTGTTGCCCTTCCCTGACCATGAACTGAGCTCCTTGGTCAGAAACAGTACTGTGTAGAATATGATGATGGTAAATAAGGCATTCTAAAAGTCCGTGTATGGTAGCTTACAGTAGAAGGATTACATACAAGAAAGGCAAATCAATGACAAGAATAAGTATCCAGTAAGAACAAAGCATTGTCCTTTATACAAAGGAAGTGGTCCAATGTAGTCAATCTGCTACCAGGTTGCTGGCTGCTCATACTTGTGAACGATGCCATATCTGGGGCTCAGTGTTGGTGTCTGCTGTTGGCAGTAGCTGTAGCCAAGTCAGCCTTGGTGAATGGAAGTCCATGTTGCATAACCTCATCTCTGCCACCATGGTCACTTCACTCATGGGCCCATTGGGTGATGACAGGAATGGCTGGGTAAAGAGGCTGACTGTCCATGTAATGAATCATCATATCTATTTGATTATTGAACTCCTCCTCAGCTGAAGTCACCTCTTTGTGAGCATTTACACGGGACACAAGTATTTTCACATTCTTCACCTATTTGGAGAGATCTATCTAGTACTTCTTTCTCAGATGCCCTTCTTACTAATTTTCCAATCATGTTCTTTCCAAATCCCTCACCATCCAGCCAGTCCATTGGCTATAGCTCATGAGTCAAATGAATATCTGGCCATTTCTCCTTCCAAACAAAATTGTATGATCATGTGTACTGCTCAAAGTTCTGCCTACTATGAAGATTTCCCTTCTCTGGTGTCTTTCAGGATTGTCTCAGAAAGGGACTCTAATGCTGCAGCTGTCCGTGCCTGAATGGTACCTGTATAATATGAAGAACCACCAATAAACCAGGATGTAGTTTTCTCTTCCTCAGTCAACCAATCATAGGGAACACCCCATGAAGCTACAGGTGAATACTTGGCAGCAGATGGCATTGTAATGGAAGTAGAAACCATAGACATTTGGGCAACTTGTTCGTTTAACTTGCTTGTGCCTTCAGGACCTGATCATGAATAGACCTGATGATGAATAGATCGCTTCCATTTGAAAATATATCACTGCTGTGCAAATCCTACTTTATGACTTGTTGGATCAGATAACACCCATGAGGTGCAGCTCGGGTCACATGGTAACTTGGTGGCCCCTAGTCAAACATTCAGTTTCCACTAAGGCCCAATAGCAGGCCAATGGCTTTCAAAGGGAGAACAGTAGTCTGTAGATGATGATAGAGCCTTGTTCCAAAATCCCAAAGCTCTCTTCAGTGATTCACCTATACTAGCCTTTCAAAGGCTCCAAAGAGCATTCCTATCTGCCACTGAAACCTCAAGTGTCTTCAGATCATATGGTCCAAGTGGTAGAGCAGCCTACACAGCAGCCTGGTCCTGCTAAATAGCCGTCTCCTGTTCAAGTCCCCATATAAAGCTAGCAACTTGGTATATAGGCCAGAGTAACACATCCAAGTGAGGAATGTGCTGTCTCCAGAATCCAATAGGTCCACTGAACATTGTGATTCTTTCCTGGTGGTGGGAGGGGCCAGATACAATAAGTCTTCCTTCACCATGGAAGCCCACATCACACACATCTCTGCACAGCCCACATCACTGGCTTCCTAAGAATTTCACTGAGTTAGTGAATTTTTGATTGGATTTATCATCTTCTGATATGCATATGTGTAACCAATAAGTTCAAAGTGGTTGCTACCTCCTGTTCACTTCATCTAATCAGAATAATGTTGCCAATATAGTATATCAATGTGATATTTAGTGGAAGAGACAGATGATCAAGATTCCTTCTAACTAGATTATGACACAGGGCTCAAGAGTTAGTATATTCTTTTTTTTTTTTTTTTT